ATTTTTCCAATATTTACTATCTAATGAGGTGACGACAAAGAATCTTGTCCTAATAAGCGACGAATGGGCCGGATAAAATAAAAACTATGTTCTTATGAAGTGTTTGTACTTCCTTGTCCATGGTTTACACCATGGACAAGGTTTACATGTATTTCCTATTTGAGGTCGTTCATTTTTAAGTTGCGAACAAGATTTTTCATTGATTCAAAAGCACTAAAAATCTGAAACCTTTAAAATGCCTAAAGAATGAAAAACGTAATCAAAAATTCTAGGAGCAAACCATCACCGTTTACTGTAACTGATGTTAATCAGTCTATGATATTTAATATTTTAGAAGCAGTAACTCCATTTTTCCTTAGATCAGCTCGTCCTCTAGTGAAAATCAAAACTGCGCGAATGAGGAGATATTCAAATGATGAACCTGGGGTTATTTTAGTAAGACGGACTTACACAGGTAGCTGGAAAATCCCTTATAAGAAACAAAACGTGGTTTTACCGAAAGAGTTTGAATTTAAACCGTTATATAGAACGCGCTTGGATATTTATCAGGGAAAAAATGAAAACCTTAACATTAAAATAATATTGATATTATTACTTACGTTACTTCTGCTCGAGATAGGATTAATTAACTTCTTTTCTCATATCCCTTTGGATCTGACATTTTTAAAACAATAAATGTATTCATTTTATTTAATGTGACACAACTCCAAAATTTTCACTGATACAGTCTGAAAATATCTAAAATTGTCTGCTACAGCGGCATAACTTACAAATGCTGGTATTGCATAGAAACTTAATATCGACACGGTTCGATTTCCACTGCATAACTAAAACAGGCCAGTATTTCAAGAAACAATTTATCTCAACCGACAACTTGACAATGTGTGTAAATAACTATTTTTATTGTGCCAATTTTGCAGTTCATAAATAAGGCTATTTCAAGCCCTCTGGTGATGTTAACTCAATTCTGTCAATTTTTGAGTTTAAGCCACTGTTGCATACAGACGACGAATTACCCATCGAATACTTAAATAAATAATTTTTTTAAACATTTCTGTCCTAGTATAAAAATTTCATAATGCTAAAATTATATTTTTGACAAATAGAAATAACCAGAAACAAATTCATTTAATATCGTTAAAAGTTATTTTGTGTATATTTTTATATATTATGTACATACCATAGAGGAGAAAATAAAACATGACATCAATATCAAATGCAAACTTGGAGTATAAACTGTATAGTTTACATAAAATTATTTGCTTAAAAATTCAGTTATTGGATACTTTGGAAAACAAACAGTTGCGTTGAAAATAAAATTGATTTAAATTTGTTTTGTGTTTGTTGTTTGATGTAGATGCACAGAAACTTCTTTTTAATATACTCCATATCATATAGACTATTGGAGAAAGTCGAAATAAATGAAATATTTTTAAAAGCAGGCTTGTTGGTGTATATACCACCAAGATAACTGGAGTATTTGAAAAATAATATGTACATTTTTTCGCTTATGTTTCGATAATACGGCAAATAATTTAGTACGCCGTAAGCGGTGAAATATAACCGAAATCACGTGTTCATCAGGAATATTAAATTTCTACTAATAAAAAAAAATAATACATTAAATCTTGTTTATAAACTATGATTTCATTTTTATTCTAAATATGTCGACTTTACGTCGAATAAATGGAAATATTATCCAGAAGTAACGTTGGAAATCGACTATACAGATTTAACGAATTTAAAACGGATCGTACAATTTAATATATTTATGTCTGTTTGAACTGCATTTGAAATGGTGAACGAATATAAAACTTGGACAACAATAAATCCATACCTGGGTATAGACATTGTATAAAATGTCGTTCAACTAAAGGAAGCGATAATAGTTCAGGAAATGAAGCTCGAAAAAAGTTAAAACTTCGCATTTTTTCGTCCTGCATGGATTGAGTTGAAATTTTAACAGAAGGTAGGTGATAGCCCAAGGATCAAAATCTATATCGAACCGAAGTGCGCTGAAGGGTTTTAGGGGTGAAAACTAGCCCTAATTGTCAAAAATTATAACATAACATATTAAACCTGGATATGGGTAAGATTTGGTTTGAATTAGTTAAATAATGAATATTTTATACTTTTGAATAGAGTTCCATCATATTTAAACCCTTCAAAAACAACCAGATTAATGTAAAAAAATTACTAATTCTAAGAAAATGATTTCGCCTTGGATCGATTTGGATAAAAATTTAGATTTAAGCTCAATTCACCCGCTGCTTTATAGTTTATGTCATGTCGACGAACCCTGATTGTTCTTAGGGGTGAAAACTACCCCTAATTGTCAAAAATTATAAAATAACATATTATACCTGAATATGGGTAAAATTCGGTTTGCATTAATTAAATAATGATAGTTTCTTGCTTTTGAATAAAGTTCCATCATATTTTAACCCTTAAAAAGCGACCCTTGTTAGATAATAATGTAAAAGAAAGTAATAAATGCGAAGAAAATGATTTCGCCTTGGAACGATTTGCATCAAAATATGGAATTAAGGTCAACTCACCCTCTGCTTTATAGTTTATGTCATGCCGATGAACCCTGATGGTTCTTAGGGGTGAAAACTACCCCTAATTTTCAAAAATTGTAAAATAGTATTAAAAATCTTAAAATCAAAGAAATTTGGTTTGGATTCGTTAAATAGTGATTTTTTTTATACTTTAAAATACAATTTCATACATTTTTAACCCTTAAAAATCAATTGTTATGAGTGCTATAGGTGAAAACAATTTTTTGCCAAAATTTTGCAACTTTTCAGCTTTTGAAAATCACCCTTTACGACATTGCAGTTTTTATAAACTAATTTAATAGATATAAATTGAAAAAAGTAGAATTAAATACAAAAAAAAATTATCAACATAACAGGCACCATATATTCTTATACATTTACAGAAATAGTTGAAAATATTTACATTTATAGGTAAAACAATTATAATATTAATTTCATTCGTCATCAATTACATCTTCATCGTGATCTATGTCATCCTCATCTTCTTCAGTTATTGGTGGACTATTATTGCACCCTGCACCTGAGCACCCAGAATAAGTAGAGTTACAGTAAAAACCAGTTTTTCTGCACCCACATGAAACGCCGCATCCTTTTTTGCCTTGGCAAAAAATAATTGTCAAAAGTTCATCGGGTGTAGGTTGTTTGTTCATGCGTATGGGTAATAACAAACCATCTTTGGAATACCATCCCAAATCTGTTGCTCTGATATTTTCATTGCCAAGCCATAGACATATGAGCAGATGTTTTATTCTGTTGTATGGATTTCAAAATAAGAACGCTTAAAATTTCGAATGTATAACGCCCCACTACCTAATATACCGGTTTTGTAGATTATTATGCTCCGAAATGTACTGTACTATACTAATAGAATTTTCCGGAAAAAAATGAATTGGTTTTTTAACGTATTTCCTTCATTTTTAACGATAGAGTGTTTCTTCAAAAACAATTTTGTAGAGGTTTTTAAGAGCTACAAGGATCTGTTAATTAAATCTTTTTTTAACCCTTAGTTTTTAAATGGGGTGAGTTTAAAGGGTTCGAAAAAGATGGTGCTTGATCGTTAATCGATGATTTAAACGGCTATATCTCGCCAAATATTCGTTGTACAACAAATCTTAATAAAGGAAAATTTTAGTCATTATAAAAGCTACAATTTAGTACATTTTTATTTTTTTCATATATTCAGTATTTTCGGGGATATTTAAAAAAAGAAGGGTAAAAAATATGAAATTGTAAATCGTTTCCCGCTTTATGCTGTACTTTTTCTAAAACTAAGCATTTTAAATGGGTCAAACTTCTTGGACATATTAACAATACATGTACAAAGAGAATTGCAGAAGGGTGAAGATCGATTTTAATAATCTTAATTTCATCGTAACGTACTCAATTTTTGCTTTTTTTATGATAGGTCTATTTATGCTCTTTAAAAAAGGTTCTGTGAGTTTTCTTTAAAAAATGCATCATTTACCCGATATTTGACTTTGAATCTTTCAAATTTGGCATTTGAAGAAAACCGCTGAACATTGATAGGCCGTATATCGGTTCCTGTTATATCGCAAAAACAGGTTAGAACATGAATTGTATTTGTCTTTTTAAAAGCTACAAATTTGTTCACTACAATTTTTTTGATAAAATGCACAATTTTCGAGTTATTCGCGAAAAATCGATTAAAAACGTCGATTTTTTCGTCTAAAAGTTGTTACTTTCAATCGCGAATAACTTGAAAAATATTAGTTTTACAAAAAAATGTATACAACATTTTTTGTTTAGAATTATTTTTTTAATCGAAACCTGTAGTTAAAACGTAAAAAAAAATTTCACACTTGAGATGGGGTGGCAACCACCCCCAAGGCTTTGGCGCACTTTGGTTCGATCTAGTTTGATCCTTGGCTATTACCTACCTTCTGTTAAAATTTCAACTCAATCCACGAAGGACGAAAAAATTGCGAGGTGAAATGCTTCATTTCCTGGACTATAAGTGGTTTGACAGCATAATAAAATCGTAGATTATGTGTAGCTTTAAATTTTTATGATTTCAGATTCCAGCAGCCCGCTGAAGTATTGGATTTTTATAATATAATTATTTGACAACCTTTTGTTGGTCAACCACCTACAGCAGAATTGAGCCGAAATACATAATATTTTTGTATGTTCCAAATTTATTTCGTTCAATCTGTGTACCTATATATATATATATATATATATATATATATATATATATATATTATATATATATATATATATATATATATATAATTAAATGAAAAAATACACTTTTTAATTATAATTTTAAATGTACATATACGCTGTTTTCACAGCGTTGAGCAATTACCCATCAACATTGAATACATGAGAAACTCTGTAACAAAAAACCGTAACAAATGAAATATGAGTATTCTGTTTAAAGTCGCTTTAGTTATTGTTATAATGAAATTTACAGACCTTTTTGAAGTAACCCCCATGAAGTCTCATGTGACCGTTGAGGGCAGGGATGTTTTTGAACTTTCTGTGACACAGGTTGCACTCGACCGGTTTTGGGATCATTTTATCAGTTGTTGAATTTGGAGATCCGGGAGAGTTCGGACTTCCGCTACCACTCGTCGCGTATGGATAAATTCCCTGTAAAGCCTATAACAAATTTAATTGTTAAAATATTTATCTATTAAGCTAATAACAGATAGTATGTAGATTATTTCATATAGTAGAAATTTCGATAAATTTCCAAAAGAACATAACCTACTCCTTGTGTGCAATATTGTGTTTGTAAATAGGTAACAATTTTCTTAAGATGGAATAATAATATTAAAAAATATGGTTTTATCTGTCAAAATTAAAAAAACGCTAAATAAGTCAAAAATTACGTCTCAGCAAAAAGTTTTGTCTCAGCTGAGATATCACTATCTCCTGCAGTTTTGTTATTTTTAGGTCTCTTATTTTTTCGACTTCATTTCTCTTGGTTGGTTCCTCGCACGTCCCTACTTCATCTTCTTGACAATTCTAATTTTCTTAGAGTACCTCTTGTTGGTTTGTATTTAATAGATCTTCGAAATATTCCGCCCATTTATTTAATTTCTCTGTTGTTTCTCCTAGAAATAAGCCTCGTTTGTTTCTGAAATACTGTTGATTTCTTTTTTCTGTCGATTTTTTGCTTCTTTTCTTCTTGCCACTTAGTTTTCGATTTCATTTTGAAAATATTCTTTATCTCTTTGTAGGTTTGCCTAGTTTCTTCTTGAAAAGCACTCGTACACTCGTACATCGAACCAGTCTTGACGTTTTTTATATGCTCTCTTTCTATATCTTTTCCGCGAATCTAGTAGAATCTAGAATCTAAAGGCGATCTAATTGGTATTGTAATCTATCTCTAACAGGTATTGGAATTATTGGTAGTTCTTGTTTAAGTTTTGCTATTATTAGTGTATGGTCATTGTTGGTATCTGCCCTTCTGTATTTCTTGCAAATCGATTATTCCTTATCATGTTTGCTTTTAATTAGGACATGATCTATCTGATTTTTTATTTTTCCATCGTCAAAAATTTTTAAAAAAACTTAATAAGTCAAAACATATGTAGTTTTGTCCTTTAGTATCTTATACAAATTTTTCTCCTAATTTTAGGCTAAATCTAAAAATGTTAAAAAGTTGTTCACAAGTTGGTCATAACTTGTAATGTACGTATAAATATATAATAAATAGTTTCCGATATATAGATAGTGTAAGCTCATCGTCCAATGTATACAAATTCTAAATATTAATTCGAGTGATATTAATTCAAATCGAAATCGAGTGACTTTCAAACGTATATTTGAATTTTCTTGTTTAGTTAATACCTTGACACCATATTGATCTTTATAGTGAAAGTTCAGCAAAATAAAAAAAAACCCGACATATTTCCTTTGTTCGTTCTTCCTGTTACAACATTTTATCAGATTGTCTCTAGAATACGAGTTAATTTTTTCCTAAACGAAAAATATCCGACGAATCTTTTTATAAACAAATAAGGACGAGGGAAAAAGGTAAAAATGGTTTCGGGTTTTTACGAAACAAAGATCGCGATATTTTTAACTTACTTGTTGTTTTAAGATATTTGTTTGTTTTTGTCCTTCCTTCTTCTGTAAATATCCTTGTTTCTAATTATGTCATCTGAGTTCAAAAACTTTGATTTTGAAAACTGGGATCTTTGTCAAAGTCGCGGATTTATTTACTATGATTTAGTCTTTTAAAACTACACAGCTTTGCTTGTGCCTATTAGTAGTTGTATCAATTTTAATTATTGCTTACTAGTGATCATAAATTAATTAGTCGTTTGAAAATTGTATTAAATTAAATCTAATTAGTGATACCAATTAAACTTAGTATATATTTTACTTTTTTACTTTATTGATCAATATTACTCTGGTTATATATTATTTACAATCATCCTATTAAGATAAAATATTGTGTTTAGTTTTTGGTATTTTCATATGTCTGAATTTATTAGATACTAAACTTCTAGTCTGGATTTAATCTTTGTGTATAGTGTTTTAACACATAATAATAGCATGTAATGGTTCTTTATTTTAATTAAAAACATTAGTAAACCGTAGGCCACTGGTGTGAAAAAACGTCAAACTTCAATGACATTTGAGACATTTGCAAAAATGTTTACAGTGTTGTCAACAATTTGTAAACTTATAGTAACAATTTCAAAAGGTTTTTGAACAAAAACGAAATAATAGTGGGCCAATAGTGTCATTAACTGCTCTGAGAAATGTGAGTTAAAAAAGAAAGAACATATAATTTTATCTTACAATGTTTTCTTATGTGTGTTAGTATACTGAAGCAACCTTTAACATAATTTTATCTACTGTTAATAATATTTCGCATGTTGTTAGAAATAATAAAAATTTTAAAACCCCTACCTAAACATCGGTTTTAACAAAAGATTAAAACTAATACAAACGTGTTGAAAGTAAATAAAATTCGCGATGTTATTTATGACTTTTACAAAACACGTTAGAGAAATTGGACAAATTAAGAAATTTTGACATTTTGGTTGGGCGTAGGAAATTTCGACACTAAGCAGGTAGCAACTAAAATTTAATGGCAATTTTCGACACCAGCCCCAATTCCCGTTTTTATCTTACAGGTGTATATTCGACACCAAATAAATATAGCTGCGACATAAATAAAATACCATAATTAATTAATTTATTTATTTTAATAAAAGTAATGTGCATTTTATTTCTTTATAACTGTAATAATATCTAAATATAATACAACTAGTACCTAATTTTTGTACATTTTACCGTTAATATACTTGTATACAATGATTTATTTGCTATTATAGGAATGATAAGATACAGCTTTTATAAAATCTAACCTACGTATTTGTTGGGATCGTAGTTTATCCATCATTTTCTCCAAAAATGCCAATTTAGCCTTAACAGTAGTATCTTTGATTTTTGCTGGTATATGTAAACTATTTATTTTGACATAAGTGTCTACCTGAAATTCTTTTAAGTTTTCAATAAAAATAAAAACAGAAGGATGTGTTGAATAAAAAGAAGAACTAAATCTCGAATGAAAGGATTCACAGGCATTTGTGGTCCTCGCAACAGACGGATTCTGATTAGACCATATGTGTGGTGGAAATAGAGCGCTATCGAAAATGTAATTTTCCAGTAAATAATCTGCATATATATCAAGTGTTGCGTTTATAGGTTTATATGACATTAAATCATAAAGAAAGCATTCTTCAACTTCTGCTGGATTTAAATAAGTTAAACCAAACGTATGCCTTAACCATTTTCCAATTTCTGAATTTGTATCCTTATATTCTTGTACCATACCCAAAGATTGAATTTTTTAAACCAGTTTTGGTGTAAGTGAAAACGGCATCCACTAATTTTTGCATTGAGCCACATACACAATAAAGCACAGTGAATTGCTTTTTCAAAGTCCACAAATATTTCAGTTGGCTCTAATGATAATTGAAATGTTTCAAAAATCTTAGACCTTAATAAAAAAAATAAATTTTTGTATGTCATTGACAATTTGTCCTTTAACAAACACTATGCTAAAGGAATATAATGTCCATTTTCCAAGCCATGTATAGTAAATAATTGTAGAAAATATTTGGTACTGTATGAAAATGTACCATCCATATACAAAGTTTTTTAATTTACACAACAAACGAATATTTGTCTCGCATGAAAATACAATTACATTTAATTCAGGATGATTTAAAAACAAAAAACTTTCATTGCGACAGGTTTTAGGAGAATAATTACTAACCGCGTTATGGACTTCTGATATGCTTCTTGGTAACGAACCTGGTAACAGTTTACGACGACAGTTGTAAATGTTCTTTCTTATGCTAGCTATGTCAGGAACCGTCAGCAAATTGGCATCACACTCAGCAACAGCAGTTCTTGTAATTTTTTCAGGCTTTTCCGATATGTCCTCTTGGGCTTTTCTTTTACATGCATTGGTTACCATCTTTACTTCAAGCTTTTTTGGATCGGCTTCATGATTATGTACCAAATCACTTCTTGTGATGGTGAGGTCCTCACAGCCTATTGTAAACACTTTTGCGGAACACTTAGTGTTTCTTTGGATGCAGCGCCAAATATCTCGCCGCTTTTTAACACTTTCTGTTTCGAGAACGAATGATGCTCCACCACTAATTAATCTCGACCATGGGAACTTTTTATCAAACTCATTTTTTAAATATCCGTATACGTGCACAAGTCAACGTCAAACAAGAAATAAATTACAACTGAAATACCTACCTGCTTTACGCCGCGGTATCGAAATTTCCTATAATAAAATTTGACCCTTCGATTACCACAGGTACAAAGACAATTTGGTGTCAAAAGTTCGCCCGCCGTTTTGGTTAAAAACAAATCTTTAATTAGTGTATTACATCATACTGGACGTTATTAAAGGACTGGAGTTTCAGAAGGGAAAAATGTGTATCAAGGTGTAGACTTATGAAACTTCTTAATAATACAGTAAAGAATATTTTTTTAAATTTTCAAGGATAAAACATGATAAAATAAAGACAAAAAAGTGCCAGGACTGCAAAAAAAGATGGAGAAGGAATTAGCTAATTCCTTAAGTAGGTATATATAATTTATATAGAATCAGCTTTATTAAAGTTATAAAAAATTTCATTTTTTTAGAGATTTATGGTTATAAATACTGGTAGTGAAGATGGGTTGATCACAATATAGTGCAACTCATGAAAGAAAGAAGAAAATCAAAGAATAAAAAAAAATATATAAAAAATATTCAGACACAAATAAGAACTGAAATGCAAGAGGCCAAAGAAAATTGGTTAAAAACACAGTGTAAAGAGATAGAGTTGTTAAAACAAAAACACGATACATTCAATATGCATAAAAAGGTTAAACAAGTAGCTGCTCTTTAAAAATTTAACACAGCTAGCAAACTGCAGGATCCACAACGAAACATTATCAAGAATAATATGCAGATCACATGAGAGAAAGATCATCAAGAAATATGCATATGGACCGAATACATACAAGAATTCTTTGATTATAATAGGTCAAAACAACCTCCGTCCTATATATTCGGTCTGACCACTTACCAATCACATCAGATGAAGTGAAAAATTATTTTTAAAAAC